ACATGGTTAAAATCGTAATTTACGACACTGGCCGGGTAAACGGTGGGAGTAACTATGACTCCCCTGGGCTACGCTGGGGTTCCAAGCTACATATGATACAAAAAAAAGCGATGGGTCTAAATTAGACTGCTGTTATGAAGTGTGATATCCACTTTAATGCAAGATGTGTAATTCATTAATTTCTTTTTTCTTCTTCTGAATTTAATTTAGAAGAGCAGAGATGATGTTTATATTTGCTTTTATAGCGCACATCCATTAAGTTTTTATACCTTTTAGTCCTCTCCTTCATACATGGACCCTACTATTCCCCCTATTTACCCCCTCCCTTTTCCCCTCCCATCCTGCCCCACCCCCTTACCTCCTTCCCCTCCATCGTTTCCTTCATACAGTAACATAATCATATTGCACAATTCTGCATTGACAGTTTTTATTTATTCTATCATAAAGAGGAGAGAAATATTAATATTGCAAGAAATGAAGTTGCATCAAGTTGATGAAATTTGTTCGGTTGATAAAACTAGTTTGGTTGATAAAATTATTTCGGTTGATAATAATCATTCGGTTAATGATATTATAAGTTCGGTTGATAATATATGTTTGGTTGATAGAACTAATTTGGTTGATGATATTACATTGGTTGATAATATTAGTTTCGTTTATTGTATTAGTTCGGTTGATAACATTAGTTCGGTTGATAATATTATTTCGATTGATAATATTATTTCAGTTGATAACAATAGTTCGGTTGATAAAATTAGTTCGGTTGAATATAATCTAAATTATTTTATTTTATATAAAAAGGTTGTATAAGTGGGAAGTCCCCCCCCTATGATAGGTGTGGGGGGGGGGGTTGTAATTTTCTTCCTCAATTTCTTGGTGTTTTTGCCTTTGATTGGTGTTTGGTTTTTGTTACGTTTTTTTAACCAAAGGGGCGGGCATTTGATCCGAGCCAATTTTAAAGAAATGTATCTAGAAATGAGGTCATTTTCAAAATTGTTTAAGAAACCTGGAATAAAAACCTAATTAGAAAATAGCATAATATTGATTTGTGGGGGTACAGGGTGTCAAAAAAACATCAAATGATAACGACATTTGTTTCGTTTTAGTAAAAGCTTTTTTTTTGGTGAAGGATTGTGTAGGTTTATGGAATGATCAAAGATAAAAAATTATCGATTTTAATTATTTTGGAAAACGACCCAAATTGAACAAAAAAATTCGCAAAAATTTGAGTTCAAAATTGCGACTTTCAGGGCAACAGTTAAACCCTAATATTGCTAATAGGGGGGGGGGGGGATGTTAGATGCCCTAAAAGCTTAGTTTGATAATTTAACATTTAAACATTAAAAATATTGAAAATTTAAAATCAAACCTAAATTTAAAATTTACTCTAAATTTCCACATTTATGGGACACCTTGCACAAAAATATGAAAAAGAAAACATCCATTTGTTTCGATTAAGAAAACCGAATCAGTCTGTTATTTTTTTAAAACTAATATTAGAGATTAGAGGTAGAATTGAATTTATAATTCATAATAATGTTAATATTAATTTCGCTATTATATAACGAAAGCATTAATTTGAGGCTGGGTTTGTTTAATGGAGAGGTCAAAAGGATAAATAAGGCAATAAATAGTAAAGGGTTGTCAGCCATATTTTGTGCCAAGCAAAAGTTATTGAACTTATTAAAAAGAATATAAATTAAGAATGAAAACCTGGCAAGTATTATATACAGTGTTAAACATGAACACAGTGTTTGGTAAATAAAATTTTGTAATCTGTCTCTAACATTCTTTTCCTAATTTAGAACAAACTGTTCGTAAAGGAATTTATTCTTTGTCACAAACTCAGATTTTCTGATCCCCTTATCATTTCAACCCAATGTCATATACCTTTGATATTTCAGACGTTGATCCTTTGATCTAACATAATTCATAGATTGAAATATCAACGGTTTACAACATTAGGTTGCAAAGATACAGGGAATAGCAAATTTGAGGATGTGGCAAAGACACAATTTCTTTGAAATGATTTAAATATTTCTAATTTGTGTAAACTTCATGTTTAACGACTTTTTGTAACTTTTTAGAATAACCTTGTTAATTTTTCAGAACCAAAAAAGGATGAAAATCAAAAGTGCCTTACTTTAAATGATCGGATTTTCGTTAAAGATAAAATCATAATAAGTATGTTTACATGGGGGGGGGGGCACTACCCACAAAGGATAAGGCTTCAAAGACGACTGTACAGAATTTATACTGTCCGTTTTCTTCTATTCACAAATGTAAATTTTTTCTTTTTCATCCAAATAATTTAATGCACAAGTAGAATATTATATTCAAGGCAAGTTCTTAATTTAGCCTTAGAAACATCCAACATTTTTCAAGTCGTCTTTACATTCAAACTGTACAGAGTGCAACTTTCTATAGCTGACTAAAAGTCGTTCAGGTACTTCAAAGAACCTTAGTTTATACAGTGATAGAGGGATGTTTCNTTTGTCTTTGTTAAAACGCGCGAACTGTTTCTTTAATTAAATTGAATTGCATTCGTTGTGTTGAGACCAATCCTTGTAAAATAATAAACGTTATTGACCTTATTATATTAGTTAGCTGGAGCCGACACTATTCATATATATATTATACTAGCTAAAGGGCCCGGCGCTGCCAGTGGAAAAAACAATTTAAATTTTTTAAATATTTTCTTTAGCCTATAACATCCCCAGGCAACCCATCAGTGTTCACAATAAATTTAGCCCAATCGGTACAGCCGTTTCACTGACTATACGCAAAATATATATGAATGTCTTGTTTTATTTCAGATATATATATATATGTATATTACTAGACTTTTAGGGCGCTTCGCGCCCATCTTCTATTTCAACTTTTATTTGTGGGTTTAACTGTGAGCATCTTCTCTTTGTACAGTGTAAAACAAAAAGTTTGCGGATTTCATAATATTTTTTCGCGAATTTTCAAAATTTTACAAAAATAAAAAACTTTTAAACACAAATTTTTAAAATTTTGCGCATTCATAAACCTTCCCCGGGGTCATGTGAGGTCCCACACAAAATTTTGGCCCGATCGGTTCAGCCGTTTTGACGTTTATTGGATACAAGCAAACAAGCAGACAGACAGACAAGCTAAATTTATAAATAGATTAATGTATGCATATTTCTTAAGTAATTGCACGGACCACAGTTGGTTGTCCGAAGTCTCTTGTTCCCATGCAAAACTAAATATTTTTAACCTTTTTTGGTCGATCTTTAAAGGAACCTTAGGCGTAATTTCGAGCGACCCCAAATTTAAAAAAAGTGTGGAATGTATAATTCACAAAAACCTCAAAGATGTTCCTGAGAACCAGAATGATCGATATATCGATATTATTTCCTAAATATAGGATAAAATGTTAGAAGACTTTTTTTCTTTTCTTTTGTGGTTTCTGAACTAATCTTGCTCTTTATTATCTTATTTCCTCCTATCAGAGACTTCTAAAAAAAATGGAATTTTGTTTCAGCCATTAGATTTCTGAACATTTAAGCTTTTACAACTAATTGCTCCTCTCAAAATGATAAAGGTGTATTGTTTGTAAGCTCTGAAAGGGGTTTTTATACTTATGCAAACTGTTCACTCTGAAAAGATACAACGAATCTTATTCTAACAGTTTCGATGTCAATTGATTTTGGCCATTTTTAAATTTAATTTTTTTTCTTCTAAATATATTAATTTCAAATATGAATATTTATTGACAACGATTATACTTTCTCCTATAGATTTATTATCTTATTATCGTTTATAATTATTTTTTTGTTCAGGCAGTAAAGGTTTAATTATTCATAATGAGTCTAAATCTATCTATCTATCTATCTATCTATCTATCTATCTATCTATCTATCTATCTATATATCTATCTATCTATCTATCTATCTATCTATTTATTTATCTATCTATCTATTTATCTATAGAGAATCCATGATTTATCCCTGAATTCAAGTTAGCCCTGCAGTGTATGACCAACACTAAATATTCCGTAGGGGCCTGCTTCATCCCGAGATACAAAACACAACAGTTCTGTATTCAGAGCTATTGTATTGTGGATATCGAGATAACTGTTTGATCTCGATCTTTTGTTAATCTGCAGATTAATTTAATCTTTATTCGATATCCCGCATTGTTATCGTACCCTGCATGAATAGATGTAATTAATCCTCAAATTAAATGTGGATATCGAGATTAAGTGATCGGGATTATAAGTATCTTAAGTATAATATCTTAAAAGTCTCCAGCTTTGGTTGTTTTTACTCTTATCTCTGTAAGCGCAATTTTCAGAACAGTAAAAAATGTCAATGCCCGATTCACAACGGTACCCTTAAAAGCTTTGTCTGAGCTGAAGTATGCCCACAACTTATGGAACTTATTAGATTTGAACACTTTTCAAATAAGAAAAGTGACAGTATCTTCCATATAATGGTTTGAAAGGTAAATCGGGTATTGTCGTCTTTGCATGGAGGGTCACAATATGTATTATATAGGTATCTTTTTCAGTTTTAAAAAGAACATGCTTGGCATGGGGTCACTAATTGTTTGATAGTTCAATTAGTTTAATATTATAGTCAGGTTTAGTTTACACTAATAATAAAACACTTAATTCGAATTATTTACACTTTCTTTCTTTTCTTATAAAAACTAATCTTTCATTATTTCTGAACAAATTTTCCATCCATTGCATATGGTCCATTAATGACTCATGATGATACTTTTTATTCCAGAATTGGTCAGATCTAAAATACTTTTTTTTTAAAGCCTTTTTTGGCTTTCTAGAAATACTGCGATTTAGAAAAAAATAGAATATGTCCATATTAAAGGTTTTATTGTTTAAGCTTAATTAATTAAAAAATTTCCCAAGAATTTTTGCTTAGTTTTTAAAATCTATTTGGCAAAACTTTTGGGGGATTTTATTCTTTCCGTTCTTTGTCTATGTTTCTTAAATTGATAAAGAAAAGTACCTGATTTAATCAAAAAAAAACATTTTTTTCACTTCAAGTTTATGTTCACTGAGTTTTTTATAATTCACTCTGAACAGTTCCCCCTGATAAACTGCGCGCATCTATACCGGCATTCAGCGCGCTTAGAGGCTCCGATACCTCCGCTGCTCTACGCGAGGTAATATGTTGAACAGGACAAATTATCAGTCAAAACTTGCAAATATTGTTTCCAAGATAATGCAAAACTTGCAAATATTGTTTTCAAGATAATACAAAACTTGCAAATATTGTTTTCCCGATAATGCAAAACTCGAAAATATTGTTTTCAAGATAATACAAAACTCGTAAATATTGTTTTCAAGATAATACAAAACTTGCAAATATTGTTTAAAGATAATACAAAACTCGCAAATATTGTTTTCAAGATAATACAAAACTCGCAAATATTGTTTTTAAGATAATACAAAACTCGCAAATATTGTTTTCAAGATAATACAAAACTCGCAAATAAATATAAATATATGATATATTGTCATCAATATATGAATATATGATATATTGTCAATCAATATATGAATATATATGAAATATTGACAGTGAATGGATTAAGAGTATCTTATGTGTATTCAAGCGTAAAAATATACTTTCACCCCTCCCCCCCCCACATTGACCACTCCCCCTCCCCTCCACCCTTGGCTGGGTTATGAAGCATTAGTCTGTATAATTGCTTGAACTAGAAATGCATTCTCGTTGTTCAACTTATATTATAAACCTCGCGACACAAAATAATCCTTCAAAAAGATCAAATGAAAAAAAATCCTTTGTCCTTCTGTCATTTGATTAAACTTTTCATATTTTCTAGGTCATTAGGATGTAAGGTAATAATTTTGAAAAACTTGTTTTTGATGAACATCTGGGAAAATTGTTTTAGGGTCTCCTTGTATCTTAGACACTTAAATAGTAACTCAACAATTACAAATCATATTTCTTAGTTTATTATTAACATGTCGCCAATGTGTGAGACTGGTGGATCAGTAACATTTTGTCTAATTTATTTTTTATCGTATCTGTATGTCAGGGTAACTATACGTCCGGGTGTAGTAAATACCCTACTCCATAACGGTTTCTCGAACAAGTATCTATCCAGGTACAACTCAGATTCTCTTGACTATTAAATGTCTCAACCGGGACACGGTTCACAGGACTACTTTGGCGTGAACTATTAACGTCACTACCACTGGGCGTGATCTCGTTAGCTATCAATGTCAACACGAACACTAGCAATTCATCGATCAATGTCTCAACAAGGACATGATTCACATGACTACTTTGGCATAAATCATCAATGCCACTACTACTGGGTGTGATGTCATAAACTACCAATGTTTCAACTAGGACATAATTTTTACCTATTAATGCCTCAACTAGGACACAATCTTGAGACATCAATGTGTCAACTAGGACACAATCCTCAACCTGTTTATCAAAACGGGATTGGTTACTCTCTTAAAGTAAACTGTACGGAATCTCTATTGCAACTAATTTTATTTCTTCATGTTAAATTAGAATTGGGTCTTAACAGTGTAATTATAAGTTATGCCCTCTTAGACATATAACATAGTTAAGCAAACACAATATGGGTTAGACGGAGTTATATACATATCTGCATATTTAATTGGTTTAATTGCAATAGATGAATTACATATTTACTACTGCCCACATTTCACTATATGGACAATGTATAATGTAATTTACTTTGAAACTCTTTATTTGCTACAAAGGGGGGGATGTAGAAAAATATGGATATCCATCCCTTATTTTCTACACTTCAGCCACTTCCAAGTAAAAACAGCTATTTTTGGGCTGCATTGCATATTGATCTCCATAACTTTCCCCTCTATCTGATTCATTGGGTATTAAGCCAGTCATTGTGGTTACCTCCATAGTTACTAAATGAGCTGGTCAACCCCACTATATCATGTGAAGCAGCCCATGGGGTCTGTGTTGATCATTCTTAGGTTGCACAGCTGATGATCCAATACTTCTTTAATCTTGTTCTCATTTTGCAGTAGTTTAGGCATAAACTGTAAACACATTCTCTGCAGTTCACAGTGGCACAACCCCAAAAGCATTGAAGTCTTGAACTCTGATAATGTTCTCTTAGCTGGAGCTTATGCTTGTATCCATAACTTGTCAGTGTAATATCTCCTAGGATCTTCATTCCTTGTCTGTCTTCTGCTGTTGTTTTCCAGTTTCCTGCCTTCTTCATCTTTTTCCTTGGAGAATTTCTTCATTAATTTAGTAAAGAACTCTCCTGTTCCATATGTATCAAATGCTAGTCCTTCTCCTATAGGCTGCAACAGTACTGTCTCCTGTCTAGCTCCTCATGTGATACACAACAATAACATCTTTTTTATTGCATTGTTTGGTTTGTTTGCCACTCATTATTGGACAAATGATCTCACCAGGTAAACACTTCATTTGGATTTCTTTTCTTAGGAGCTGTTTCAAATTTACCTAGTTTCTCATAGGTGTACTCATTTGCATCTCCACTTATCACCTTTGCATCTAGGAAATCCTTACTTTTCTGGTTTGCATCTGTGAGCTTGGATTTCTCTAGCAATGCTGTTAATCTTGCAATAGAAGACCGATTTTCTGGTTCATCATTGTTTTCCCATTTATTTACATACATTATGACCTGAAACTCTGAGATTGGGAGGTTCCCCCTCCTCCAGCTTCCGTTATGTTTAGTTCTATCTCTGTACAATCCTCACTAGGTAACCTAGGGTATAATGATTCCACAGAATCCACTGTTGCTGTTGCTGACTCGTCATCAAAGATATCTCACCATCTTGATTCTCTCAGTACCCTGTTAAACCAGGTACTCACTTGATTTCTCTTCTATGGCGCTCTAGGCATTTCAGAAAGGGTTCCTTGATACACACTGCTGCTACCACTTTTGTAGTAAATGCCCTACTCCTTAACGGTTTCTCAAACAAGAATCCAGGTACAACTCAGATTTTCTTCACTATCAATCTATCAACCAGGACATGATCCACACGACTACTTTGATCTTGTAAGTTATCCATTTCTCAACTGGGGCACAATCTTGAGCAATCAATGCCTCAACTAGGACACAATCTCGTAAACTATAAATATCTCAACTAGGACACGATCCTCAACCTCAGCAGGGATCGATTACTCTCTTGCAGTAAACAGTACAGAGTCTCTATTGCAACTAATTTCATTTCTTCATGTTAGATTAGAATTGAGTGCTGTTAGATATACCATTATGGGTTTGATGGAGTTATATATATCTGCCTATTTAATTGGAGTTGTAGGTGACAGAGCCGGAGGTTTCAAAACTGGAGGTTACGGAGCCAGAGCTTTTGCAGGCAACAGAAATCTAACTCTACGAGGGGGCTCTTGAGCTGTCACAGGGAACTCTGAAAGCACTGGTTTCAGTTGATCCACGGAGACTGAAACTGTTTTGGAACCCATCTGGAGAGAAAAACATGAGAAACCACTAAGTAAGGAACTCTGTAGAGCGAAGAAAGTGGAGGCTTGGATGAATCTTCTCTCACAAACAAATGGGATGAACAGAGAAAACTTGGTGGAAACTTGGTCCAAACTGGGTTTGCTGGAGTGGAATTGTGATGTGGTGGAAAAACTGGATTATTTGCTGGATTTGGAGAAGAAGGGAAATCAGGACTGTGTCTAGGAACTCACCAGGAAGAACCAACGGAGAACCAAAAACAGCTTCAGAGGAGGAAATTGACAAATCTTTCCTGGGAACGCTACGAAGTCTGAATAGAACCAGGGGAAGGTGATGAAACTAATCAGACCCAGCAAGTCTAGCATGGAAGGAAACCTTAAGCTGTCTGTGGAACCTCTCCACAATCCCTTTAGACTAAGGATGGAAGGAAGTAGTTGGAGAGTGAACTATTCCCAAAAACCAAAGAGAACCAGTAAACTGTGCACCACGGTCACAGAATATTACAGAAGGGACACAAAAGAGAGGGATCCCTGAACCTAGGAGAATCTTTGTCCTGGAACCGGGATATGGCGAACTGGGGTAAGTCTGAACCTTACACCGTTGACAACTAATGCAGGACTGGGCCCAGAAGTTTACATCTCTGGACAGGAATTCCCAAACAAAACTCCGGGAAATAATTCTCCAAAGGCTTGTTCACCAGGAAGAGAAACTTTGTGGATGGACTCAAAAACTCAAAAATTGGCTCTGAGACTAGAGGACGGAGAACACCAGTTGACACATCACAGATGAGTTTAGAACCAGATATGTGGACAGGCACAATCTTGAGGGTGGAGGACTAGTGGAGGTTTTGAACCTTAGTACAGGACTGATGGAGAAGGGACATTTCAGAATATGAAATTCCTGGAAACAACACTCTGAGGAGGCAGAAGAGGATGTTAATGGACCTGGACTGCTGGTTCTAGTACGACTAGAGGAGGATCTTGTTCGGGAACCTTAAGACACAACACATGAGATATACTATCAACATCCCTGAGATCCTGAGAAGAGAGAACATGTACAGTGTTAACTCTTCCTCGTACTGTTAGAGCTCATCTGCTCGGGTAGCCATTCCTTATTATTCAGGATATATATATCTCAGGGTATCTGTATGTTAGAGTATCTGTATGTCAGAGTATCTGTTTGTCAGAGTATCTGTATGTCAGGATATTTGTATATTATGATATCTGTATGTCAGAATATCTTTATATCAGGGTATCTGTATGTCAGAATATCTGTATGTCAGGATAGCTGTATGTCGGGATATCTGTATGTCAGAATATCTGTATGACAGGATATCTGCATGTCAGGGTATATTTATGTCAGAGTATCTTTATGTCAGGATATCTGTATGTCAGGATATTTGTATGTCTATGTCAGGATATCTGTATGTCGGGATATCTGTATGTCAGGATATCTGTATGACAGGATATCTGTATGTCAGGGTATATTTATGTCAGAGTATCTTTATGTCAGGATATCTGTATGTCAGGATATTTGTATGTCAGAATTGTATGTCAGGAACAGGATATCTGTATGTCAGGGTATCTGTATGTCAGGGTATGTGTATGTCAGATTATCTGTATGTCAGGATATCTTAATGTCAGGATATCTGTATGTCAGGGTATCTGTATGTCAGGGTATGTGTATGTTAGGATA